CTGGAAAAAGGACGGCGTCGCCATTAGTTCACTTTGGTCTTGTTCCGATCCGTGGCATCGGCGACTCTTGAAATGCTGACATGCAAAAAACAAAAACAAAATCCGTAATTTTAAAAAAATGTTTCATATTTCATACAGTTATGCAAAGTCTCAATATCAACAACAATGCTTATTATAGAAAAGGTCAAACAGAAACAGAAAATAAAGAGTTAGAAGAGCTGAGTGTTAATGTTTTAGTTTACCCTAACAACGCTACCACAATCAAAGAAAATGTACACTATTTTTGAGTATAGAAAACGTAGCATTCTCTGGATAAGGGAGGACTTTACTAAACGTAGGCTCGCGGTACACTTACGGCAGAGTAAGGGATAAAACTTTCTCCTCGAGTAGTCACTTTCATAGCCTTCATCTATCCCCCTTGTGCGATTATACGGGGGCATTTTTACTTTTTCGATGACTGTCTTTACACATCCATTTTTCCCTTTACTATGGAATTGCTGGGAACTAAACACACGCATGCTCATTTCAACAACTTGCCGCAACACAAACCCCTTAACATACATATACCACACATACACCTCATCTCCATGGCTCCAGAAACGCTGAAGATCCACCATTATAATCTTGCCTTCACTCCCCGGGCACTGCTCAACGTCACCTCAACCTCCGTCGGGAAGGATTCGCACCAGAGACCGAAACGGCGTCCCTCCACACCCCCGCGGCCCGCACTCGAGGCCCAAACGGCGTCTCTGCTGCGGACCGAAATGCCGGTACCTTCGTGTAGGCCGATCGATTCCCCTCGCGCTCGACTCCGCTTTATCGCATGAGGTCCTTTTCCCCGAGTTTAAATGAACGAGATTCGTTTCCCTTGACTTCCGAAGCACAGTACAGAAGCAATGCTTGTGGCAAGGGGGCAGGTTCGAGGTTCTAGATTGGTTTGGAACCACTGAAAGGAACCTCGAGTAGCAGGTGCTCCCTGCGAACACGTGGCGGGTTCGGAATAGTCGCAGAGAAGGGACAACGCACGTGCTACAGCCCACCCTGCCCCTCCCCCCTCCCCTCCCCTCCCTTCCATGTGGTAAAATCGATCCCATAGATTGGCGTCCCGGAGGCTCGCTCTGTGTGTCACAGCAGAATCATCTTTTCTTGCGTTATATTTGCGTATTGAAAGGCGTAGTTAAAGTCGGACGGGAACGGGAAGTCCACCTAATGACTGCCAGAATATACTTCCCCATTGTTTTGAAATTCTCTGGCACAAGACAAGGCAACACAAGACTAAGATAAAAGAAAAAGAAAAAAATTGGCGTATATTTCCCTCTGGTTCGAAGAAAAAGAATGGAAATGTTAAAACAAAATTTCACGTCTTGATACCTCCTCAATGCATAAAAAGCCCGACAAGAAACGCAGTCAACCACTCCCTCGCTCAAGATACTGACGTCACGCGTGCGTTTATATCCGTGACCCACCGATCTCCCAAGTCCCCCTCCCACACCCCTCTCCCCTACCCCTCCCCTCCGTTTCCCCTTCTATAATCCCCTCCAGTCACCCCCCTCTTCTCCCTCCACAACACGTCACTCACAAGGATGATGGTATTCCTTGAGCCCCCTCCCCCTCCCCCTTCCTCCCTCCTCCCCCTCTCATCCACCTCTCTCTCCCATATTCCTTACAAACACGGCAACCGCTTTTAACCAGCGTAAACACACCCGCACCCGCACATAAGAACACAATTGCCTTTCTTGTGATCCCGCGGTGCTATTACAGTGTGCCAGCGACCTTGAAGGAGCATCCTGTCTCTCCTTTCCGATCATGTCCCTCCCTCCCCTTCCCCTCCGATCCTCGCATCACAATCCTTCACAATCGCGGAGGAATCACAATCACTGCGCCAGCCCTCCCCCCCCCCCCCTTCTTACTCCATCGGCGCGAGGCAATGCTTCCACGACACTGCAGAAGGCACGACTGGTTCAGATCCAAGCGAGTACCTCCCCCTACCCCGACCCCATCTTCCTCCCCCCCCCCCTGGCCCCCCCTTCCATCCTAGCTTTCTCAGAAGTGTCATGAGGAATTAGAAACCTTCCGGCTCGGCTCATGACCCGGTGTCGTGGCACTTTTCCGTACCTTCGCGACGGCCGCGAGTGAAAACTGCACGATGAACACTGCTTCGTACTTTCACCCGCAAAGTGCTTACAGGAGGCGGGGGGAGAGTGAGAGCGAGAGGGGGAGGGGAGGGGGAGGAGGAAGATGATGAAGAGGAATAGGAGGAAGATGAGGTGGAGGATGAGGAGGACGAAGAAGAGGAAGAAGAAGAAGAAGAAGAAGAAGCAGAAGAAGAAGAAGAAGAGAATAGAAGGTGGAAAGGAAGAAAAATGAAAAGTGTGATAAGGAAAAGTAGGGAAAATAGGAAGGAAAAAGAAAGAACAAGATGAAAAAGCGACTATGACGTCGAGAAAACAAAGAGGTGCGAAGAGAGCGATCACAAGAGCGAGTAATAAAACCCGGACGCGGCGAGTGCCACCTGCATCCCCTGAGGCCCCGACCGCGCCAGCCTTCCCCGGGGGCACCGGTACCACCCACGCCCTTTCCCACTAGACCCTCTGCGGCGCGAAGAGAAATCTCACACTAGCCATATGGCTCATTCGTTGTAGGCTTAAAAGAAATTCTCACCGAAAAGACGATAATTATTCTGTTTTTTCTCCCTCATCTTCCACACCCTCGCCCGGCCCCCTGCCCCTCACGCCAGGTCACTGCAGGTCGCCCCTGAAACACGAGACCTGCGAGCTTACCACGAGACATCGACCTGCCTCTGGCCTCAGCCGTGTCGCCGCGGCCACCTGCCCTTCCTCCCTCGCTGTCACATTGATTGCCTTCTGCCCCGGGTGGCTGTTTGTTGCTGTTGTTGTTGTTGTTCATGTCACTGGTATTGGCTTCTCTGATTGTGTGTGTGCATGGCAATGTCAATGTTAGTAGTGCGCGGCCGTGTGACGTCAAGATTTGTGCGTGTTAATATCAGTGTTGTTGGTGGACTTGTGATTTATACAGCTGCTTCCGTACTGCTGTGGCGACGCCAGCGATACCAGTGACCGCAGAGGTGTCAGTTCACCTTGTCATACCTCTTCACGCCGGGTTACAGTTAAATCGTTTCTTGTTTTTCAGCCCCCGCCTTGTCTGTTTCTGTGATTATTTACTTTCATTTCAGTCATACCGCGTCAGACACGCATGAAAGGTCAACGACAATTCGAAGCTGACGTTATTCACGCCTCGCCAAGCCACGAAAGTGCAGGAAATAATAAAAGTGGAATCTCCAAGCCTGCACTTGCCGAAGCCTTTGCACGTGGCACCGCGAGAACCCCAGGCTTTGGAGGGGAGGGAGGGGGGGGGGGCAAGCACACGTGCCAGGCGCTTGATCCAGCTTTCTCCAATTCTAATCGTTAGAGCACATACTCCGCTTGTATACATCGACGTAGCCAACAACCAACGCAGTAAATATGCCCGAACCTTGATAAAGGAAAGGACGGGGTGGGGGCGAGTGGGGGGCGGGGGCGTGGTTGAGTGCCGTGGTAACAACGCTCCTGCCTATAAACGTGATATTTAGACGAATAGGCCTTGCGTGCCTTCCCTCTACGCCTCGCCTCCTGACCTATATCCCAGTCCCCTTCGATAGGTCACCGGCAATGGCTGGGTTGCATGTCGGGCCCTCTCTCTCCCCTCGCTCATAGAAGGGGAGAACATCTATCAGGGCAGAAAGTACACCGAGCCTTACTCAAGCTCTTGTGTTGCCAAGTGGACAAAGCGAGGGAGGTCGGGGGGGGGGGGGGGGTCATACGACATACCCGTCCGACCTTAAACTCTTTTTCCCCCTTGTGAGCACACACACATCCCTATGAATGACGCATTCTCGTCTCCTCGCTTTAAGAACTTAACCCCCTTTCCGTCCCCCCTCACCCCCCCCACCGGCCATTACGTACACTAAGAAGCGTTCTGTGCACTACTTCCCCCTCCCCCCTCCCCCGACCGACGCCTCTGAAACAACGAAGGCTACAGCGTAGTATCTCCGAATTCCCATCCCGTGGCGTAACCTCCTCCTCGCCTCCCACACCGACGTCTCTGGCAAGGCGATCGCCCTCCCACACACCTCCCACACCGCGGCCCTTTCCAACACCACACCGCCCCTTAATGAAGCTTTTTGCCGATGAATAAATGAATGTGATCAACCACACGGACGCTGTCCCGCCCGGATTCCGAAGACGGGGGCAGGAAATTCACACGGTCACGGCGAGCGTTTCGTAAGCTTCCTCACTGCACTCGGCGCCGAGGCTACTGGCGAGGGACCCTGGGAAGTGCCACCGGGGAGCGATCACTTCAGTGACAAGCCGCGATCACATATCAAATGCCACTGGCGGTGTCATCGTCTCGATCTGTAATATCACTAATACCGCATGTCATTACAGGCGTAAGCATCGAACAAGGCGCTTCTGCAATCATGTTATCAGCCCACTTTCCGCCCGTCACCCGCCGAAGGAGAAAGAGTTCCATCTCGATCCCGAAGAAGTCGACTCCGAGTACCATCACACAGTTCGAGAGTATCTGTGGGCCTCGAGGCACCAGCAGCGGCGAGCAGGTCTGCGCGAGGACCGTCCAGGCGAGGCACTGCCCGTGGCCCGTGAGTGCCACCCATCGCCCCCGCGGCCGGGCCTCCCTCTCCTCCCCTCTGGGCTGCAACCTGCACGCCGCCACAGGTCATTGACATTTCTTCCTACCGAAGGGGCGTGTGGGGGCGGGGGCGGAGGGGCGGGAGGGGGATCACTAAACAGACTAGTAATAGAGGCACCACACAACCCTCCCCGCGTTTGCGTGACCTTTAGCTATGAAAGAGCGAATCTTGAAGCTCAAGCACAGCGAAGTCCGGACAGTGCCAGGCTCAGCGCAATACGCAGTCAGGGGAGGCAGCGGCTGCGGTGTCACCTAACAAGATAATCGCACGATAATGGCCAATTCGCCACAAG